GCCCTCCTCCGCCGCCGCCGCAGCCCCAGCAGGGCAATGGGCTGCCGGCGGCCGGGCGCCCCAAGGAGAAGAAGCGTTCGCGGGAGAACAAAGAGGTGCCGAGGGCCAGCCTGCTTAGCTTCCAGGACGAGGAGGAGGGTGAGGCGGGTCGTTGCCTGGCTTTTGGGTAGCTTCTTGCGGGAGTGGAAGGGACCTGGAGTTGCTCAGCCTGCACTGGGCCTCCCCCGGCCCTCCAAGAGAGTTGGGATCAATATTTATTTCTTAAGGCAGTTCCCCCGTGTGGCGTGCGGTGATGTGGGATCACGTAAGAGGGGGCGAGCCCTGGGGGCACGGTACGGGCGGTCAGGGATGCCCGCGCCTTCCCCGGCCCGACCTGGCTCCTGCGGAGCCATCATGCTCCCAGCGGGCTTAGTTGTGGTGTAGGGGTTCAAATTGCCTCTGCTTCTGTGTTGCTGGTGCATCACCTGTGCTGCGTTCACTGCCCCTGGGTAGCCCGCAGGTTTGTGCGGGAGTAGATGCAGCCCGTAGTCTCCCCCTGGAGCCAGCAGCACTGGCTGAGGAGCATGTGTCCTGTGGCTTTGTGTCGAGTTTGTTTTAGTCTGATGTGGCTGGTGTTCATGGGTCACCTCGGACTCACTGCCTGTTGTCCGAACAATTCGTATAGTTTTGAGTCGTCTTGGAAGGAATTCTCTTGAAATCACTGAAACTTGTTTTCTCAGACTCGTGATTTGAAATCTTGATGGAAATACTGAAAGCGTAGAATAAGACTCTGAAAAAACCCTACAATGTTTGTTAATGGCAATTTGTGAAGTTCCAGGTACAAAATTACGAGATTTAGCAAATAAGTATGCTTGAGAGATCTAATGAATGTAATGTTATCCAATTTCTCTTTTAAAGAAACTGAAGAAGTTTTCAAAGTGAAGAAATCAAGTTACAGCAAAAAGATTGTAAAACAGTTGAAGAAAGAATACAAAGAAGATCTTGAAAAATCAAAAGTTAGAACAGAGGTCAATTCTCCAACAGATGGTAACTGCAAAACTAATAGTAACTTTTGTAGTGGAAGAGCTTAAGTACTGTAATTTAATTAATTGTTTTCAAGATGGATTGCTATTCTTCCAGAGGATTTCACATTTAGAGCTGAAGTAAAGCACAGATGAAATGTGTTACTTGAGCCTTAGGAATGCTGTTCTGCAGTTGGTAGAGAGTTCTTTGATTCTCATGTAGAAATGAACACAGAAGGATGGAACTTCTCAGCTCTGTTATATGGTTGTCAAATAGACATCAGTATTCTGGACTGCAGCTGTGTTTATGACAGATGAGTTACTTGTTGAATTAGGAAGGAATTACATTAGTTTGAAAATGTTTCTGGTGCTTGTCTGACAGAATGTGCCCTTGTAATGCATTTTCTTTGAAAAGGAAGATTGTTGGGGTGAGCAGAGTGGTGGTCTTTTTTATTAATTGTTCAAGAGCTGCTTGTTTCAGGACTTGAACCTTTGAGTAGATAACAGACTGAAAGTGTTGGAGCAAAAGGATCTGTTAACAATGTACAGTCCTTGAGAGCTTGAAGTAGAGTCTGGGACCTCAGTTTCATTGTACTGTTGGGTTTTGGGAAGCTTATTGGTAAAGTGTAGTGGTTGCTTTTCCACTTAAGTTTTGACTTGGCTTATATAATACTACTAGCTCGAGCTGGGAGGCTTATGATCTAAAGATTGCAGTGATCTAGAGAAGCACATGGGGGTTGAACATGGTCCCATTCAGGAAATATTTTAAAATTTTTAAATTTAATTAAATTATTTTTAAAGGTTTTGCCTGCATTTAGAAAACCCACGGATTCTTATTAGAATCCTTTAAATTGCCTATGCAGTGATGTGGGGCATGAGCAAAATCAGAAATTATCATTTCTGTGGCTAATGTTTAGTTCATCTGTGAAAACCTGGGTTCTTGCTTCTGTCACAAAGACCCTTAAAACATTGCATTTTGCACATGGCTGTGTGGGCAATGTTTGTTTGATTACTGTTTGTTTTGCTCTCCCTAATTCATGTGGCTATAGTTCAAAGACTTCAAGGCTGCTACTGAGGGAGAAGCCTGCATTCTCTAAACAAGTGCTTGAGTCTGAAACGTCAGATATGTGCAGTTTGGATTGAGTAGCTGGGTTTAACATGCATTTTTTTACATATTATTTGCACTTGCTGCCTGTATGTATGTTACCCACCTAATATAGGTTGTAGGCTGAGAGGAAGATGAAGGGTTCTTTTGAAATCAGCTGGTTCTTGTGGAAAGATTTGGTGTAACACAGGCAGAGCTTTCTCATTGCATATGTAAGAGACTTTGACAAGGTTGCACAAAGTTGAGTTCGCCCACTTTCTTAATACTTAACAATATGGAGAATGTTTAGTAGTTGCTGGGGCCTGCCTTGTCACATTTTGTTTTGAGAGTATGTCAGTGATTTAATCACAGTTAAGAAAGTGTATTTTTCTAGATCTCAAACAGTAAAATAATTATTTAACATTTTCATTTGATTTTCACTTTTGATTGTTATATCTTAAAAAAATACTTCTGAGTGATCTTTATAAAAGGAGTAAAACATGGACTTTGCTGTCTTATCAGTTGAAGCACCACTAGAAAAGACAGGACAGAATAAGGATATAGGCCAAGAAGATGGGACTGCAAACAGTGAGCATGGTGAGGAAGAAATGGAAGTTGAAAGTGAGAAGGAAGAAGAAAAACCAAAAGCAGGTGGTGCTTTTTCAAGTGCTCTGTCATCACTGAATGTTCTCCGCCCAGGTTGGTTTTTGTATTATGTTTGATAAGTTACCAAGTGATTTAGCCAATGTTTACAGCAGACTAATGTGTGAGAGAGATTAGGAAATAGTTTCCAACAGTTTAGCATCTGAGAATTACAGAAACTGCTATTTTTTAAAGGTGTTCAGTTTTACAAGCCTTATGAGAGAATATGTTTTGCTACAGAATGCTTCATCTTGATGTCAGAAGCAGGAATTTGTCTCTCAAATAGATGACAAACTGAAAGAAAATCTAGATTTGGAATAGGTGACTTCACATGAGATTTAACTGCTTTCAGTTAAAATCTCTTTAGTTCAAATATTTCAGTTATGGGTCTGCAAGGTGTCTGAAATATTCTCCTATCCTGTTTTGTATACTGAGGTTCTAGTCAGGCCCTGAGGTCAGAGAAATCACTCTAGGAAAATATTTTTGAAACTAGTTTGCTAATTATGGTAGTCTGTTCCCCAAATACCAGATGGGTGTCCTGGGTCCACACACTAATTGATAAGACTTATGTAAGTTGCATTAAGTTTTGTGCTGCAGATTTTAGAGTTTTCAATTAGGTCTGGCACTTCTCATGTTTCCCCTTGATTGTACAATCTTCTGTATATTAACCATGTCTAATTTGGAGTCCTCTTAATCTCTGACCGATGACTGACTGTTGAAACTGTTGATGCTTTTTATTCCCCCCAAAATAAGAAGAGCTGGGAGCAATATTGGGATGGGAGGTAACACCTCATTTTCTATCTCCCTTTGCAATAGTCAGCTCCTGTAAAGAGCTTCCTCTTCTTTAAGGAATATTTCTCATAGGAGCATCGGGCTTCTGCTCTTATGACATGAGCTGCTGGAAGCAGAGCCAGACTTTCTGTGACAATCCCAACTTTGAGGGTTTCTGGTCAGAAAGTTGACATGTTTAGCATCTAAGTTGCTTGCAAATATTTTCTGTGAGTATGGATTCGTTTCCCCTCACATTTTTTTTCTGTGTGCAGAGGTGATTTGGTGCAATGACAGAGATGAGCAATAAGAAATTGTAACACCTGTTTTGTTAAAGTGGTTGTTTAACAGTGCACGCATCTGTCTTTAGGAGAAATTCCAGATGCTGCTTTTATTCATGCCGCTAGGAAAAAGCGTCAAATGGCTCGTGAACTTGGAGACTTTACCCCCGTTGACAGTGAACCAGGTAAAAGCCGCCTTGTTCGAGAAGATGAAAATGATGCCAGTGATGATGAAGATGATGACGAGAAGAGGAGGATAGTTTTTACAGTGAAGGAAAAATCCCAGAGGCAAAAGATTGCTGAGGAAATAGGTAAACCCTTTTTTTGGAAGGTCAGCTGATAAATATTCACACTGTTTTCACTGCGAGTGCTCCTATTCAGCGTTTTAAACAACATGTTTTTCAAACAATCTGGAGTTGCATAACATTTCTGAGGAAAAGTACTACATAATGGAATATGTTTGTAAAATCCTGAGCACAAAACTATGTTCCTGTGCACACTGCTGACTGTGATAGAAACTTACACTAAGGATCAGTTCTTGTTTTTCCTGTACTCTATTTTTAGGAAGTATATAGTTGTGAAACAAAAGGTTTGATACAGAATTCTTCTTGCTGTCAAGCAGGTAAAATATCCTTTTGGAAAAGGAGTTAAATGTTAGAGGATTTTACCAGCAGTGAATTGCAAATTTTCCCATTGGATCCTTTAAGTGGAACCCCTGTGCTAATAATTCACAGGCCAGTGTCCTTAATTCCTCATGAAAAGGAAAGGAAGATACTGTGAGATTTTCTCACTGAAGCATGGTTTCAGGTTTTTGAATTCATGACCCTTATAATCATGAATACATTATCTTCTTTTTTGTACTTGTATGAAGGTATTGAAGGAAGCGATGATGAAGCACTAGTGGCAGGGGAGCAAGATGAAGAGCTCAGTAGATGGGAGCAAGAGCAGATACGAAAAGGAATCAACATACCCCAGGCATGTATATAATTGTGCACTCTTTTTTGATTTGTTTCTGCAAGTATTGGCTAAATCCTTTATAAACTTGATTAGTTTACAGGAGGCTGTTTCATTTGAGAAATTAAGTCTGTAAATTCTGGTGCTCTTTAAAGAGAAATAGTATAAGTATTTAGAATGGTATTGATACTAAGAATTTGTCCATTTATCTTCTCGTGGGCATTTGTTTCTTCTACCTTAGATATTAAATGCTTATATCCCCTTGACAATTACATTTTGTAACCGTATCTGCTTACATTTTTCACTTTGATTTCAGATGTGTAAAAAAATAAATTTCCCCTTTCTTTAAAGCCTAATATACTACAATTGCATTTCCTCTGCCACTAGGTTCAACCAAGTCAGCCTGCAGAAGTGAATAATGTATACTACCAGAACACTTACCAGACACTGTCTTACGGTTCCTCATATGGCATTCCATACACCTATGCTGCGTATGGATCATCAGAAAACAAGTCTCAAAAAACAGATAATACAGTTCCTTTCAAAACTCCCAGTAATGAGATGACTCCTGTTACTATTGATTTGGTAAAGAAACAGCTTAAAGACAGGTAGGACAGACCATCTTTTTAGACTTAAAGACCTGTACCCTAGGTTTCTGTTCCTCAGGTGTCTTTTAGTCTCGGTGAGCAAACACAGAGTTTCATCGCTGGAAAAGTACTGACTGGCACATCCATTTAAAAAAAAAAAAAAAAAAGGCAAAAAAGCTCAAAGTGAAGATGACATTGACACTTTGTTCGAGTCTCCTTGGATTGCTTCTCTGAAGTGAAACTTTAAATATGAGGCCATTGATCTTGTTGAAGAGAGGTCTGAGTTGCATCTTCTGGACACTGCACAGTCTTATAGTGAAGAAATGAAAGGCCAGTGAGGTGTTTAGCTTATCAAGCTGCATTCCTTTAAACTGTGAATCAGATATTTCCCCTCCAATAGATAAAGAATTTAATTTTTAGTGTATACAGAGATTTTTTGGCTTAAACACTGTAATCTGCTTGTCAGGTACGCAAAAGGTACGGAATGAACGACACAATTGAAATGAGAAATCATATGTAACAAACAGCTTGTACTTCACATGTCTTTGAAATTGGTTTGTATGCCTTGTAGTGTTGCAGCCTTTGACAATGAGTCAAGTTAGAGGAAAAAGAATGCTTTGTATAAGCTGCTTTGTATAAGCCCATCCACCCCCAAGCTGTCCAGCCAGCTTTTCATTAGGGATAGCCTTGCACTATTCTTTGTGCTATCAACTCCTGTAAAAGTTTGTAGGAGTGGCCAGTGCAGTGCACTACAGCATAGTCTAGCAATTGAGTTCCAATCATTAGCCTTGCAGTTCATGAAGAGAGGGGAGAAGGTGACAAATCAAAGGTCGAGAATGTCTTTGCAAAATTTCCCGTATATTGGCTCAGTACTTGCACTGTACTGTCTGTTTGATGTCTCAATGGTCTGAAATAGACTTTTGGATGTAAATTTACTATTTATCCATTGCCCTTCAGGTTGGACTCTATGAAAGAAATTCACAAAGCTAATCGGCAGCAATATGAGAAACACCAGCAAAGCCAAGAGGACTCTACCAAGGCAATTGAAAGATTAGAAGGGTCTTCTGGGGGTATTGGTGAACGGTATAAGTTTTTGCAAGAAATGCGAGGGTATGTCCAAGACTTGCTTGAGTGTTTCAGTGAAAAGGTAAGGATGCAAAAACATTAATCTCTTTAAAAAAAAAAAAAAAAAATAAAAAGGTCTCTATTACATGCCAAACACCACTTCTCCCTCTGATTTTGAAAAAAAGTCCTTTGAGAGCATATTCTCCTAAAGGTTTGGTTATTTGAGGATTGAAAAGAACTTTTTACCATTCTAAGCTGATTATCAGAAGTCTCTCTTCCCAGCTCACTGACTTGAGATTGTCTAAAAACTTGGAGATTTTATGTCTTCAGGATTTTGGTAGATACTCTGGCATTTCAACTTTACTCAGATACTCCTTTTACTTGTGTTGGATATCAGGTTAGCAAAAGTGAGGACTGAATTATGACATTGCTACTTTCTGGAATGCTTGGGGTACACAGTAGCTGAGACTTGTATTTTCTTTCTTATTATAAACTTCCTCCTGCAGATGTTTCTTGGTATTGCTCTGGAGTCTGAAGGAGAGAAGTTTTAAAACTAGCATAGCTGTTCAAAGACACCCAGACTTAAAAATATATTTCTTTCATGTAGTGTAATACTTTCATGCATCTCTAAGTCCAAGACTTAGTATTTTTTCTTTTATTATGCACTGTGCTTTGATTACTTACTTTGTTGCAAATATTGTAGAAACTCATGAATATATATATATATATATATTAATTAGGCACAGAAGGTGTAGAATTCAGTTAGCAGTATATTGGCTATTTCTTCCTTGTCTTCTGACTTAAATACAGTAGTAGTATATTAATTTCTCGGTATCTTGTCAGAATAACTGAGTAGTTTTAAGCTACTGCTTGCCTAGCCCATTAGCTTTGGGAGAGGAATGGAAAAGCACTTTGGGTCCTAGACGTTAGTTGTCTGTTATTAGTGGAATTGGGAGAGTCCAGTCCAGTCTTTGTCCTGTAAAAGTGAACATAACTATGTCATGAACAAACCCAGGAAGCGTGGGACAGTTAATTCGCCCAGCTGATTAATTAGTGTAACTGATTAGTTACAATTGATTGTTCACTTAGGAAGCCATATTCCTGAGTCCATATTAGCATTAGCTGTTGAAGATTATCTAATAAAGGTACTTTTCTAAGCATCTCTGGCAGTGCTGGTTACCCAGATGGCTGAATTCCTACTAAAGATAAGTTTTGACATTATTACTCTGTGATATATTTTTATTTCTGAAGTCTCTATTCAGTGTTTTCTTTCTACAGACCTTTTGTTAAAGACCTTTCTAAAGACCTTTTGTTAAATTACCTTTGTGATAACTATAAACCATGTCTGGAGGTTCTCCTTGATAGCATAAGTGGTCCTGTTCAAATATTCTTAAAATGTGACTTTTATCATCTCAGGCTTCTTAGGGGCATTCACGGGGTTTTGCTGGTTTCAGGTGGAGGCTGCTGCTGTACTTGTATGTAAAGCGAGTTGCAAAAGCAGCAGGTGATGCAGTCTAACAGGAGCATTTCATTTATTTTTTTATTGTTTGTCCAGATAATGTGGTTTGGAGTTCAGTGCTTTCAGCATGCCAAAAGTACCATCAAATTCAGAACCAGTAACACTTGTCCAGAACAAGACACTGAAAAGTTTTCTAAAAAGAAGGTGTTGAAAGGGGACAAAATCAAGTAATAAAATCAGTATCAGTTTTTATTTAAATGAAATGCAGGAGGACAGCAAATTGTTCTTATCTTGTGAGTGTAGATAAATTATAAATTATCTTCAGCTTTTTTGTAGAACCTGTGGCCCTGACTGTTTCTATTTAAAGTGTTGTTATTATTATTATTTATAATGTATGTAGTTATTATAATACACATGAGGATATGTGTATATGTATGTGTAATAATAAATACCATATGTGTATATACATACATATATGAAAACATATCTTTAAATATGAATGTTAGGGTCACTTTGTTCATTCTTAAGGCTCAGCAGAGAGTATGACAAGATAGCTATTACACAAATTTTAGAAACAATCACTAGAAAGGTCAAATCCTGCGTAATACCCTTTTTTCCCCAATAAAAAGACAACCAGTAGAGTGGAAGATGGCTGCATGACTTCCTTCAGAAATAAATACTGTCAAAATTATGCTTTCTGAGAAGGCTGGTGAGTCGCAATGACACTTCTGCATTTTGAATGTAGGAACATACAGTGGATACAGAAAGATTGAATTGTTCTGGGCATACCTTTGAAAGCATAAGTAGATGAGTTGTTACTTTACCTGCAAAAGTGAATTACCAAAACATGCTCTGTGTGTCAGGATTTTTCTTGTGATCTAAATGTTTGGAGACCTTTCTGCTTTTCCTCTTCCACTGTATACAGGAAAAGTGAACAAAACAATCCCCTTGAAAACACTGAATTTAAGGTACTGACTAAATAAAACAGGGAATGAGGACTGTAACTTTATAGTAGTCAGTAAAATTATGAGCCACTCATTAACCACAGTATTGATTAAAGAAGAATAAGGGCTGCTAAGTCTCTTGTATTCTAAATGGGAAATATTTTGACTGGATTCATATATCTGAATACATTACTAGGGTTCTTTTTTAATCCTGAGAAAATTACAGAAAAAAACACTTGAGATGCTTTGAAAAATTTTCATTTAAGTTTTCAATCTTAAAATTTCCTCTTCACGCTTAAGAGAAGAAACTGTGTTTTCTATGGTAAACTGCAGTAAAACTAGTATTTTTAAACTATTATTTCTGTTTTCAAAATGGTCTTAAATTCTGAATATAAACTTCCAGCACTTGGAAGTTTATTCCCTCCTTGTCTTTCACTCTACTCTTTTCTCCAAAAGAAAGTTGCCTGTGTTTTGAGGTGGTGCAGAGCTGCTTTCATTTTAATCCCTGGAGCCCAGTTTATCCCACAAAGCTAATTTCCTTTTCTTCTCTGGTGTGTGTGTCAGTCTCAGCGAGCTGAAATGGCCCTGTAACTATAAACTCAGAATTTTACATTTTACTGAAGGAGGTTCTTTAATAGCTGCTGAGTCACATTCTAAAATACATTAGGAAACAATTTCTGATTTTTATATTTTGTTTGGAAAAAAAAAATATAATCCTGGATGGTAGGCAGCAATGAAATATAAAAGACTGGAAGACTGTGGAGTAAGCATACGTCTCAGAGGTAAGGAGGACATGGCTTAAGTGTTCATACCAAAAGGACTTGCCTTTCCACATTAAGAGATTGTGAAAACTTCTGGTTTGCATTTGAATATTTATAATGATCTAATTTTAACTTGTCCCAGGAAATGAAAAAAAAAAAATAAAAAAAAATGAGCAGTGAGCCTGCTATATTATGTCAGGAAATTCCTGGCTGTCATAATATCTATTTTTGTTAGAGATGCTACTAGAATAGTTCATTAAAGAAAAAAAAAGTGATAGGTCTGACCTGATCTACCTGATTAATTCAAGGTTATACTTAATGCATAACTTGTGCAAATTGTACTACTTTAATTTTAGTGATAAGCTAGAGGAGTATTTGACTTACTTGAATTACCGGTTGGCATAACACCCTTATGCAGGGTTTGATTTCATTTCAGTAATATTTCAGCATATGCTGTGAAGAGTTAGAGCAGAACAGTAGCTGCTGGCTTCAGTAGGTTAGATTGATGGGTAGTTTTTTCACTGTGTACAGTCAGCTTATTTTCTCACCGGAGTACAGAATACTTCTACATTCTTGTTTAAAGGTAGATGGGAAGCAGTCGACGTCTGAGAATTGCAGACCTTTATGCAACACATTACACACTTGCTAGGGAATGCAAGAGTACTGGGAAGAATATTGCACTCTCTAAATAGGATGTCTGTCTGTGTAGACTCATCCAATCCATGGAAGTTGCTTTCAGAATGCTCTTGTTCTGATTGAAAGCTGCCAATGTTAAATGTATGCGTTTTTCACACCTTGAACTATTTCCTGGTGCAAATGATACAAACGAGTAAAAGCCAGGACTTTGTGCTGCTGGGAGCACAGTGACAGCATTTTGCTCCGGAATAGACTGGGACCCCAGAAGCTGAGCAGCTCAGGATCCGGGTATTACGTGGTGTGTTGTATTTTTACAGGTGCCTCTGATTAACGAACTTGAATCTGCAATGCACCAGCTGTACAAACAGCGAGCTTCCCGCCTTGTCCAAAGACGACAAGATGATATTAAAGATGAATCTTCGGAGTTTTCAAGCCATTCAAGTCAGTCCATCTTGAAGGTTTTTATTATTCATTAAACAACCTTGTTTACATAGTATGACTTAATTGAAATGTAAATGTTTAATGTATGACTGTCTTATTAAAGTTTATTCTTACTCTTGATATTAGTAGAAGCAAGTTTAGATGAAAGTTCTGTTTTGTTTTAAACTCTAAACCACCGTAACTCTGACTTAATCTCTCGTTTCTGTTTCTCTTAACTAAATTTTCTCCTTCCTAGCACTAAAAATATATGCATGGTGGCTGTGGGAGTAGTGGTAGTATGTGACTCCCCATTTTCTTCTTATAGCAGGACTTCTAAAAAATTTATTTTAACCTTCCTGAATCTATAAATGTTCTTTAACATGTACAGTTAACTGTATAAAGCCACAAAGCACTGGGCTAGACTTCTGTCTGATGTTCTGTTTTGTAGCCAGTATAAGTATTTGATTTCAGATACTTAACTGGTAAATTAAAGAACCGGAAGACTAATCAGACTAACACAGTAACCATGTATGAAATACAGCTTAAGAATACCTAGTTAAAATTCCTGCTTACTGTGAATTTGTGGATGGGGAATTCTCACTGAGGGGGTGTCTTACGGTGATTACTCTTCAGTATGTAAAACTACAAAAGCATAAATGTTAACTTGGATGGAAGTCTATGTTTCTTGGAGGAGGTTTTATTCAGCCTATTAAATCAATGGATGAAATATCCTGTTAATAGGAGTCCTCTTTATGCTTCATAGAGTTTCCCATTTTTAAAAATGGCTTTCTGTCCTGTTGCTGATGTAAAATTCTATAATCAATGCCATTTCCCTGTTCTGCCACAACTGTGGCATTTCATTTTTCAGATGAAATCTTGTTAATACCATTAGCTACAGCTCACTGAAGATGATGAAGTGTTAGGGTGTCAGAGTTGGTTGTTCCTTTATAGAGTGGTTAGCATACATGTTCTTTCTAGAACTGTTATTTGGAGTTCCAGGCATCAGATGGCCTTGCAGTTTTATCATGAAAATGCTGCTGTGAGAGCTAGAAACCTATTTCCTAAAAGCTTAGAATGGATTCTTTTATAATGAAATTTAATGATAGGATGGGAATAGTTCTCATTGCTGAGGTTGGGTTTTACAGAGACTTTATTCAGTATCTGAAAGTTTAGATAAGGCTCTTTAGGAGTTCAGGTATTGAATTGGAATGCTGACATAGATTGGCATTAGTACTTTAAATGATGAATTTGTAAAGACATTTTGTCAGAACATGTAAATTTATTCCTGAAGTTTGGATAGGCTGTTGTTTACTTGTTAATGTTTAAACTTTAATGGTGGACTTGAGCAGTGGCTGCTGTTCTAGCTGTGTTGTTTTCTATAGCCAGGAGCATAGATAAGCGGAGCTTGAAAAGAGGAGAGAAGATTAGTAGATTTTGATGTTTTAAACTTTAGGCAATCTAAAGCAAAAAAACTTAGAAACACTGTGACTAGAGCTCTGAAATAATGTATATTCCCCAGTCACTCTTGTCTGCTTTTTTTTGCTAGTTTTCTTCTCAAAAATTATGTGGTGAATGTGTTTATCTAAGGAGCACTTTTTTCTTGGACACTTCATTTCAGCTATTTCTGTTAAAACTGTTGACTTTTATGTAGTTCAGCACTGTTGTGAGAGAAATAAGAGGGAAGTGCAGTGACTATTTGACATTTAAGTGGAAATTTTTCCAAACTCCACTACTTTCTGTTATAATCTCTACACATCGTGAATTCGGGCTTCTGGGGGGCATTGTTGGTTTTTTTTTTTTCTTTTTTTATACTTCAACTTTCTATTTCAAATTGTATTTAGTTTAAAAGTGGGTAAAAGGCTCTTATGAAACTGCCTACAGCACATTTATAGAATCATAAATAAACATTTTAATTTTCATCAATGTAATTTTACAGATAAAGCTCTCATGGCTCCAAATCTTGATTCTTTTGGGCGAGACAGAGTGATCTATCAAGAACAAGTCAAGCGTCGAACTGCAGAAAGAGAGGCTAGAAGGTAGAGAATGAGATTTCTTTTCTCCTTTAGGAGTCTTTGTCTGCTTGCAAGGTACAGCTGTCCTCTGTGACATACTAACATGAGTGGCAATGTTTGCTTCTTCCTTGCAAAGGGAAGAAAACACTTCAGCTGGTATGTTGGGCAGGAATATTCTTATACATCCCAGACTACCATGCAAGTGTACAAAGCATTCCATGATACTGATTGAAAGTCGCTAAAAGAAAGCAAAGTAAATACATTCCACAGCTATATGGTCTCGGCTGGTTTTCTTTCTTTTCATTGTTTGAGGCAGCAGCATAATGGAACGCTTGAGGTGGTGACATAGTAAAAGTTTTTTTCAGCTTGACTTTCCTAGAACTAAAAGGACAAGCCTAAGTGGGTGTATTCATTGTACAGGTGGGGAAAACAGCTCGTTTCTCTTTACTATAGCTGGTTTATACTGCTCCTCCTTTCCAGAGCTCGCCGTAGACAAGCAAGAGAGCAAACTGGGAAGATGGCAGATCACCTTGAAGGCCTTTCCAGTGATGACGAGGAAACTTCAACAGATATCACAAACTTCAACTTGGAGCGAGGTTAGAAAAGCTACCCAGGCTTTATCACAGAATCACAGCATGGTCTGGGTTGGAAGGGAGCTTAAAGCCCACCCAGTTCCAACCCCCTGCCATGGGCAGGAACACCTTCCACTAGACCAGGTTGCTCCAAGCCCCATCTAACCTGGCCTTGAGCACTTCCAGGCATGGGGCAGTCACAGTTTCTTTGAGCAGCCTATGCCAGGGCCTCACCACCCTCACAGGGGCGAGTTTCTTCCCAATATCCCATCTAACCTTGCCCTCTGTCAGTGGGAAGCCTTCCCCCTTGTCCTGGTACTTCAGGCCCTTATAAATAGTCCCTCTCAATCCTGCAGACTGCCTTCAGGTACTCTAAGGCCACACACAGTTAAGTTACCTTGAAACTTCTCCAGGTTGAACAATCCCAGTTCTCTTATGTAACAAAGCACCAGATATTTGACAGGAAAAAGAATTTATCCAAATGCAGCCCTATTTATATACTTCACCATATTTTGGAAGGAGTTTGGGAACTTTTGATTCCTGGATCATCAGTGTGACCAGAATAGCCTCTATCACCATCTGACTGGATAGCCCATCCTTAGTGAGATTCTATTTATTTAATTCAAACTTCCTTTTGCTGGCAAGCAGTAAGGTTTTGGACCATCAGTAAGTCTTTCTTCCAATTTGTAAAATAATTTATCATTCTTGAAATACGTGTTTATCTTACTTGTGAAATTTTGAAAACCTCAGTGCTTTAAAAATCTTTTTTTGGTTCATGACAAGTATGTAGTGGAGTTGTGAATAAGCTTCTAGAAATGCAGTGACAGAAGTTTTGTAGTCTTGCTGCAGCCTGGCAAAGTTTGCAAATGATAGGAAACAATGTTGAATGCAAACACTGCAGAAAAATCTGGTGGTACAATTAGTGTTGGCTCTGATTAAAAGAGAATCAGGTTAGAAGTGAGGAGGAGGAGAGCAGTAAGGATCGTATACATAGAATTGCTTGTGTTGCATTTGAGGAGGGATTGATTGGTTTTGGTCTCTTCAAGTAGGAGAACAGTATTGACTTTTCACAGTATGAGAGCTAGGGACTATGAAATTAAGGTATAGGATAGGTTTAAAATAAAGAGGTCATTTCCCACAGAGAAGGCAATAAATGGCAAAGTCATTGCTGTAGGTGGTTGTGGAGACCCAAACTATGAACGTATTAGAAAGCAATTAGATGACCTGTCTAGCTGCTAGGTCCTTTGGAAGTGCAGTTTGCACACCTTTAGTCACTGGCTGATTTACTGCAATTTTATGGTTGCACTGGTTTTCTGCATACAAGGAGGGGTCTTGGATAAACAGAAGAAGTGGTCAGGGTTGTTTGGTGCTATAATAAACTTAAGCTAAATTAAATTATCTAGACTCAATGGGGCTGAATTGCACTTGGTAACTTGGCAGTTTATGTGTGCAAAAGCATTTTGTAGAAATTTTTTCAGTTTCTGAATAGGCATAGTGTTTGTAAAGCTTTTTTGCTATTGTTTGTAGCTGTGATGTTAGTTCAGAAACAGCAGTGGAACAGAGGAGTGCACTTTGCACCTACTGACCAATATGAAAATATGGATATATGAATACTGCCCAATATGAAAAGTGTGGTTACATGACCTAATCTCCTGTTCCCTCGGCCCTGTCTCTGCCTGCTGTGTGTACTAGTTGTGCTCGTTGTGTAAGGGTTACTACTGTAACCAAACATTTACACCTGCAGCTGTGGCAGATACGACTGATTAGAATGAAACTAACCCTGAGAAGTAGAAAAGATGAAGGGAAAATAATATATAGAGGAAAAGGTCTGGACTGCATAGAATACTGGTACTGCAGATAAAATAAAAATAGAAAAGAAGGTGCTAGAGGATTGTAATCACGGCCCAGTGCCAGCAGGCACGTTCTGCACAGCATTTTAGCATGGTCTCTGCCAGGACCCACCCTATCTGAAGTGCCAGTTCAGTTGACTTATCTGAGATGACCTCCTGTATTTGCACTTAGGTTATCAAAGATGTAGAATAATCAGAGTTGGGAGGGGGCTGGAGATCTGCTGGTTAAAACTCCCATGCAAAGCAAGGCCAGCTTTGAAGTTAGATCCACTCTGAACACAGCCCAGTATGTCACCAATCCTAATTACGTCTGGTAACTTAAAATCCTTCCATGAAATATATAAAGTAAGACCTGCAATAAAACAGTCTATTTGAGAGTACTCACATGCTCCTGTCTTTATAGCTTTGTGTGTTTGAGGCAGGAGTAACAGATCATCTAAAGATGATGGAGGTTTTTTTTTTTGTTTTGTTTATGGGCTTATGCCAGTGAGCATCAAAGATGTCTTGAAAGAAGCATTACAAGGAGTAAGTGATTAACTTTTTGTTTCTTTTCTCCCTTGCTAGATCGTATATTGAAAGAATCCAGCAAAGTTTTCGAAGATGTTTTGGAAAGCTTTTACTCGATTGATTGCATTAAGTCACAGTTTGAAGCTTGGCGCTCCAAGTACTTTGCTTCTTATAAGGATGCTTATATTGGCCTCTGTTTACCAAAGTTGTTTAACCCTTTAATCAGACTTCAGCTGCTTACCTGGACTCCTTTGGAGGTAAGCTTCTCTGCAAGCAGCTTCTATGTTAGCTGCTACATGGTGGTTCTTTGACACTTCAGCAGAGCAAAATAAATTGCACCTTTGATGTGTGTTCTAGGGATGAAATTTCAAATGGGCATCTGTCTTGAGGCAAAGTTTTTCTGGGGAGTGTCTGGACTAGTTGATCCTTTATGTTCCCAGCAGACTGGAGTTCATTTTGGCATGCTGCCAGTTCCTTCTCAGGAAGTGGCCAACCAAAAGACCTGCAATTGCCCATGGTAGTGGGTTGGAACTAGGTAATCATTAAGGTCCCTTCCAACCCAAACCATTGTATGGTTCTATGAAAGTGCATTTAGTCTTTGAAATACTTCAGAGAAAATTCTGACTCTAGATAATGCTGTTTTGTTAGAAGTGGAACTATGAAACTTGTGGAATTACAACCTAGTGTCTGTAGGTTATGTATCTGTCTCTCAGCTACATCTCCATACCCTGTAGAATTCTGGCTGGCAATTTCCAAGTCTTTCCCATAGTACTCACTGCCCAGTTATTATATAGGGAACATGGGAAGAGCAGGACAGCACTGTGGCAGCCGAGTATCCCTGGCACACATTCCTTGTCCAGCCTGCATATGTATGCTTTCATGTGATGCCACCAGGACAAACAGTTCAGGTAGCTTTTCACTCCCTCTCTATTCCTCCTTTTTTCAGAAGTGCTTCTTTTTTTTGTTAACTACCAAGAGATTATCTGCAAAAGGGGATTTTCTGTCACCTCTTCTCCAAGTGCAGAGGAGGGGGAGGCATGACTCCTCTTCAGAGAAATTTGACTTCGTTAATCAAACAAGGAAAAATCTAAGAAAGATGCCCTCATTAAATTTAAAACATTCTTTGTGCATTCTCTCTTCTCGCATGCCATCTCTCTGAGTTTTTCAGGTTGACAAAACAAAGCTTGTGTTAGTTGGAGACATGGTACAGAATGGTCAAGTCTAACTGTATTCATTAGTCTCTGTTACTGATCCTGGTAAGCATTTTGTTATGGTAGAAAAATTACAAGGTGCTCATAAAGAGAGGCTTTAAATCCAGAAGGCATAATTTTATAATGCAGCACAATTGAGCTGTACTTCTGACTTGTACCCTAATCTGTAGGCTTTTTTTGGCTCAGGTGGAAGTAGGAGTTAAAATCTGTGGGGCAGCAGCTGCTAAAAAAATCAATCTTGCTTCAGCCATTTTCTCTTTTCATTACATCTAGGGGCTGTGCTGGTAGAATCAATTGGTTCATTTGGCAGAGTGTTTAAAAGCTGTTTTTGTGAGTGTATCATACTTGCATACGCAATACTTTTTCTATGTGGTAACTTAAAATCTTTGTTTAGGGATCTAACCCAGATTCTTTTTTTATTAGGGCAAGTGTCGAGATTTTGAAACAATGCTGTGGTTTGAGTCATTGCTGTTTTATGGCTGTGAAGAGCAGGAGCAGGTGAAAGATGATGCTGATATTTCACTGTTGCCTACCATTGTAGAGAGAGTTGTTCTTCCTAAATTAACAGGTATAGGCTTAGAAAATGGGAGGGAAGGGGTTGTGGAGTCTGATGCTTGTTTGTGCTTTCAGATTTTTCTGCTTCATAAATAATTGCATGTCTCTGTACTTGGATGGATGTCTCTATGCTTGTATTTGAGTATTTGTAAAGTGGAGTAATTCTTTAATCTCTTACAGTAATTTCTGAAAATATCTGGGATCCCTTTTCTACTACACAAACGTCTAGAATGGTAGCAATTGTACAGAAACTAATAGATGGATATCCTTCAGTGGTGAATGCAGAAAACAAAAACACACAAGTAAGTTTCTTAAATATGTTGCATAAATTAAAGAATTTGAATACATTTTTAATACCTTATGTTGGGAAATACACCAAGAAAAAAAAATTTTTTAATTATTTGGTGCTCTGTGGCCTGTTTGTGGGGAGTAAAGTATGATGATGATAAATTAAAAGAAGAAATTCAGTGGAGCTTCTCCAAAACAGATACTAGAGATAAAAAGATACACCAGATGTTCTAAAACTTGTTGGTCTCCAGTTTTGCTGTAAGGGTTGCCTACAAATACTCAGGCTTTTCTTTTTTAGATCTTTGTAGCCTTTTCAAATGTATTGCCTACAAATTGGATTGTTTTATGTGCCTTCTGTGAATCCAGGAACTGGTATTAAAAGTTCAGGTTTTAATTGAAAAATTAAAAAAAATTCAAATTTAAAAAAATTCAATTTCAAAAATATTAAATGTCAAATTTCAGCTCTGTTAATTATTACAGACTTCTTTAAGTTGGTTTATTTGTGTGGTCAAATATGTATGTATGTATGTATGTTTACTGTTATGGTCACAAGTGTTGTTTGTTGCTTTAAAAACCAGTTTCTGAGTGTTTAACTACTAAGTGCATTGGACATTAAAAAAAAAATTACCTGTTTCAGATGCTTTTAAAGGCGTTGTTGCTAAGAATGAGGAGAACACTAGATGATGATGTATTCATGCCCTTGTATCCAAAAAAGTAAGTTTACTTTCAACTACCATGTGAGACCTTTCTTAGCAAGTCACTGTGTTCTGTCTGTACTTATGAAGGGTTTTTCCCAGTGTGTTTCAGTGTCTGGGTACAGGAGATCTTTTGTCATCCTTCTGGGAGCATTTAGCAAAGACAAGAAGGATGAAAGGGAATATTTATGGAAATGTACTGTGTGTTGGAAGGAAAAATCTAGCAAATTAAAGACAGAGGTTTAGTCTTGGTTGCTCATTAAAGAAATTTCTTACTTTGCAGCATCTTAGAAAACAAGAACTCTGGTCCATATTTGTTTTTCCAACGTCAGTTTTGGTCCTCTGTTAAGGTAAGTCAGTAAATGCATCTGGTAGATCTTTGGTTTAAGACAGTGTAGCAATAAAATCCTCCTCAGATTTGTGGAAAATGGTAGATGGAAACTGCTTCAACTTAATTTGCAAAAACTCCAACTCCAGATTCTTAGTCTTTGATAATGCACCGTGCCCTCTTCACGGTGTGTCTGGTGACTGGTGGTGTCCCCCAGGGCTCAGTTTTGGGCCCAGTCCTGTTTTATATCCTTACTGATGATCTGGATGAGGGGATCAAGTGCACCCTCAGTAAATCTGTGGATGACACCAAGTTGGGCAGGAGTGTTGATCTGCTGGAGGACAGGAGGGCTCTGCAGAGAGACCTGGATTGATGGGACCCGTGGGATGAGGGTCAACAAGGCCAAGTGCTGAGTACACTTTGTCCATGGTACAGAGCTGCAGCCTGCAGGGCAGAGTGGCTGGAAAGCTGCTGGGCAGGGAAGGCCCTGAGGGTACAGGTCAACAGAAGCTGAAGGTGAGCCAGGTGTGCCCAGATGGGCAAGAAGGTCAAGGACACTTGTACCAGCAGTGCTGTGTACACACCTGGTGTACACACCAGGGAGTGACTGTCCCTCTGTGCTTGGCACTGCTGAGGCCACACCCCAAATGCTGTGTCCAGCTCTGGGCTCCTCAGTTCAGGAAGGACATTGAGGGGCTGCAGCATGTTCAGAGATGGGAACAGAGCTGGGAATGGTCTAGAGGGAAAGTCCTAGGAGCAGCTGAGGGAGTTGGGGTTGTTTAGCTTGGAGAAGAGGAGGTGGGAAGTAGGGGGGACAGGACAGGGACAGGGACACCTTATCACTGCCTGACAGTGGGGCAGGGCCAGGTGGAGTCTGGCTCTGCTCCCAGGCAGCCAGAGACAGGGTGAGAGGGAATGTCCTCAAGCTGTGCCAGGAGAGTTGGTCTAAGAGTGGACTTGATCTCAGAGGTGTTTTCCAGTCTAATTGGTTTTGTAGTTGGAAGATTGTCAAGTGGAAGGACCATTATTTCAACTGAATGTTATGGGGTCACTTGGCTTACTCAGGTTTTTTGTATCCTTGTGCTTGTCAGAATAAAATATACTACTTTGGGGAATGGGGGTGCTCAAAGCTGTGGATGTCATAGTTTATTTCCAATAAAAGGGGGTGCTCAAAGCTGTGGATGTCATAGTTTATTTCCAATAAAAGACTGTGAAGAAAATTAACTCCCATATAAACAGAAAAGTAGAGGCTGATGTTGATTGGACAACTGCTCTCCATGATCACACAGACAGAACTCTTCTCTGGAATTTTCTATTTAAATTGCAGCAGCAAGGGAGACTGTATTCCCAATAGGTTTGCAAAACAAAATATTTCAAAATCTTTGATGTGTTTGATTAACTCTCTGGTTTCAGTACATTTTAGAGCAGTTATTTTCCCTGTGTTGTATTTTCAGTTATTGGGAAACTTTCTCCAGTGGTATGGAATCCTTTCAAACAAAACTCTGCAGGAGCTGTCCATAGATGGATTGCTAAATAGATACATTCTTATGGCTTTTCAAAACTCAGAGTATGGAGAGGACAGCATTAAGAAAGCTCAAAGTGTAAGTAAAATCAAGCAATGTTTAAAGGAATGTATTTCAGCTGAAAGAAATATATAGTTGAAACTTGGCATTGCCTATGAAATATTGGCTTTGAGTCCTCAAAAGCTGTAGTCTGTGAAAAACGGATTTTACTTTTTTTTTAGTATAGAGACTAGAGAAAGAACCTTCTCTGGCTCGTGCCTGTAGATGGATTAGGTATACTGTGGGTTTCAGTGCTTTACTGCTTGGATTTTGGTGTGGGTTTTTTGTTTTCTCATTTTTTCACTCCGTTGGTCCTGCAGTCTTACTAGGCAGACTTGACAAGTTATGTTACATAGCTTTTAAAAATTTTGTTACGTTGTGTTTAACTTCCTTTTTCCTGTTTTTCATAGGTAATTGCTTGCTTCCCTAAGCAGTGGTTCACTAATCTAACAGGAGACAAGACTATTTCCCAGCTAGAAAACTTCTGTAGATACCTTGTTCACCTGGCTGATACAATTTACAGAAACAGCATTGGTTCCTCTGATGTAGAGAAGAGAAATGCAA